CCCACACACACCACCCAGCACACTGAATCCTGGGCCAGGAGCCACACAAAACCTCACACCGTCATGGAAACAATATGCATTGCTAAACATGGTGTTGCCTGGTGGGTCCCAGGAACGGCAGCAGTCAGCTAAGTCCGGCCCCGGCACTGACATGGGGCCTGCCTGTCCCAGCTGCTGGGCACTGTGGCCAGAGTGGCACGGCCCAGGCAGTGGCGGCCCAGCCGAGCACAGCAGTGGGGGCCACTGGCAGGCAGGCTGGTGGGGCACAGGTCCTTCTGCCACGGGTACTGTGCCTCCCGGGGCCCCGAGACATTCCTGCCAGGACAGGGCTGTGGTCTGGTCACCTGCAGCACAGGTGAGCAGCTGCTGGCCGCGCATGCTCGGAGATGCTGTGTTGGGTGGCAGGAGTTGCCTGGCCTCAAGAGGATCTTGTCCAAGCCAAAGGAGGCTCAGCCCCGGGCGCCCGTGCGGTGGGTTGAGCCGGTGTGGGCGCACAGCCTTCCGCCTGCTCTCCCTGGCCACGGGAGTGGCTGCACGCGCCCCTGTGGCGGGCCGGTTCCGTCCTGTGCCGGGGCCTCACGGCAGGGCTGCCTTCCCCCGCTGCGCCAGTTCAGACAGCCGCTCCTCCCGCGTCCGCGCGTGCCGGGCCCCCACGCGGTGCGCCGTCTCCGTGGCCACAATGTCAATCTGGGCGTACCGGGAGGCACCGGCCCCTGCAGGAAGGCCAAGGCCGGGGTGAGCAGAGCCCCAGCTGCCCCCACACACCTCCAGGGCACCAGTCAGAAATGGACGCCTGGGCCTGCAGCCTAAGGGGCCTGCATGAGGCTGGGCCAGGCTGGTAGGAAGGGCTACAGCCAGGCCAGATGCGAGGTCCCTGCGGAACGTACCTCGCACGCGGGGGCCGGCTGCCGGGAGCTCCAGTCCCATGTAGTGCAGCTGCTGCGGGGAGGCGGGGCTCGCCGGGAGGTTCACGTAGGTGCGCGTCTCCCCGCGTGCTCTCTGGGGCCCTGGGCTGTCAGCGGTGGGGGCCGGGGAATCTGTGGGAAGGAGGGGCTCTGAGCCCCTGCGGGCCCCGGGGAGGGGTCGCTCCGCCGAGAGCTGCCCGCCCCCTCTCCCATCCCCACCTCACCCAGCCCTGCAGCCCCCCCCTTCTCCATTTTCCTGGATCCACGTCCAGCTCTGGCCCAGCACGAGCCCCAGGGCCGGCCGGCCTGTCCTCTGACCCCTGCTGTGTCCTGGCCATCCCTCCTCAGCTCACCCACCCCTCCCCTGGCCAAAGCCCCCCAACCCTCCGTGTGCGTAACGCCTCCCTTGTCCATGGGCTGCCTGCATGGACCGGCTCCTCGCCCCAGGCCCGCAGAAAGGCTTCTCCAGTGCCCCCTCACGGCTCTGTCCCCGGCCCCGGGGGAGGGGCTGCCAAGGGCATCCCCTGCTCGTCTGTCGTGGGAGGCCGCAGGGCTCTCATGGGCAGGCAGCACACACGGGCACCCAGCCCCTGTGCCCCTGACCGCTGGCCGCCCGGAGGCGCTTGAGCTACGATCGCTTCCGCCTACTCCAAAGACAGTTCTGAGGTGACAGCGCATTACCAGGCCCAGCCGCCCGCTTGACACGGGCTAAGCACGCTCCAGGCCACAGCCGAGGGAGACCCGCAGGCCAGGGGGAGATGGCCCCCCCCGGCTCTGTACAGCGGTGGGCAGGGGGGCTTCACAAAGACCCAAAGACACCTGCCCCTTCGGATGGATCTCCACCGGGGGAGTAAAGGGGTCCAGGGCTAAGGCAGGGTGGGGGGTGTTGAGGGGGAAGGGGCTGGTCTGCGCCCTGCTTCCTGTGGAGCTGGGGCCCTGGGTTCCTGCGTCCTCCTTTCAGGGGGTGAGAGGTGCTGTGTTAGCCCCACCCAACCCCTTCCTGCTCCGCCTCCCTGCTCATCTGAGCAGGACCCCCCCAACCCCCCCCCGCCACTCGCATCTGCTGCCCGCCGCCCTTGCCCGGCAGGATCTGACCTTCAAGCTGGGCTGCACATACCTGACCCCCACTCCTCCCACCCCTACGATGGGCCAGGGTCAGGGCCAGGAGCCTACCTGGACTCGGCATGGGGGGTCCCTGGGGTGGGGCAGCAGCTCCCTAAATCAAAGAGAACAGGGTCAGTGCCTGCCCAGCATCCCCTACATTCTGCCCTCCTGGCCCAGGTCTGGGAGGCCTGCGCCCGCAGCAGGGGAGGCCAGCCCTGGAGCCCGCTCAGTATCTTGTGGATCCTTTGTTCCACGGCCCCTCCAGCCTGCTATCGCCCGACAGCACAGCGGCTCTGCACTGGAGGCCTTGGACACTGTGGACAGGAACTCTGAGCCCGTGGGAAACCTAGGACCCCGCCCCCCAAAACCTAACCCCTCCTCATGGTGCCTGTAGTCTATTTTAGAATTCCATGCTCTGTGGCCTCAGGGCCCTGGCCCACGCTCTGGCCGCCAGCCGGGGTGGCCGCAGATGAGGCACACAGCCTCTCATGTGCGCAGGGTACACATGACAGAATCTGGGAGCGCACAGGGCAGGGCAGGAGGGGGCCCACTGCAAGGTGGTCACTGTCACACAGGTAGAAGAAGGTGGGGTCTGAGCCAGCGAGGGCTGCTGGCACCCCAGGCCCCCCAGAAAGGCCCCCCTCCTTTGGCAGGTAAGGAGCCCCAGCACCAGGGAGGCAGCGGCCTGGTCGCAATCCCTCACGGGGTGGAGAGAGCTGGAAGGGGGTTTGCATGCAACACCGGTCCAGGCCGTACTTGAGGACAAATGTCCATAGTGGATCTAGCCACAGGCACGAGGCCGTGGGCCTTGAATGGCAGCCTCTAGGATGATACGGGCCCCACCACACGCCCAGGTTCTGCTGGGGCGCAGGGGTGTACCGCGGGGTGAAGCGAGCCCATCCCTGGGGCCCAAACCAGGCTGGACCCACATGCACTGCGTGTTCGGGGCCTGGGCCGCTGCCGGGAGACAGTGGGTGCCCTTGGTACAGCCAGGGCTGAGGCTCTCCTGTGCACATGGCGCCCAGGAAAAGGCCAGTCCACCCTCCTTGGAGTGAGCATGTCTCCACCTTGTCCAGCCCTCCCCCACCCCACCCCGGTCCAGCTCCTCTATCCAGGCCAGGCCAGTGAGGGCTGAGACCAGGGTCCCCGTAACCTGGCTCCATCCTTGCCCTCCCTCTCCCCGGCCCCCCTCCCTCTCTCTACCCTCTGCCCCCTCCCCCCAGTGCCCTCTGCCTGTCTCAGGGGGTGGGCCTGTGTCTCAGGGGAGGTGAGAGTGGGTATGGCGGGGAGGGCCGAGCCAGGCTGAGGCCAGGGCCCGCAGGCTGTCCCCAGACCCCCGTGCCCGGAGCTGCAGCCCTTCCTCTGGTGGGAAGGTGGGCAGAGGCCCCCAGACCCTCCTGTTGGCCTGCAGCTGTGGGACACGGGTACCGCATCAGACCCTCCATGTAGCCCCAGTGGTGGAGACGGCTCCCCATCGACAGAAGAGGAAACTGAGGCTCAGAGAGGCGTGATGACTTGCAGGGCCTCCCAGCCAGTGGGTGGTGGGTGTGGCCAAGCTCAACCCCCAAACCCTGTCCTTCCCCAGGGGACAGAACTACAGGAGCCGGGGCGCCCATTCCCAGCAGGGCAGTGGGCAGGGCTGTCTAGGCCCTGGGGCTGGGCCTCCTAGGAGAACAGAACAGGTCCGAGCCATGAGAGTGCCCACCCTAGCCTGGACACGGGTGCCCCAGGCCCGAACCCGAGGGTCCCCTAAAGGCTTCAATCCCGCGGCCAGTGAATCACAGAAACACGCACACACCGCAGCCCGTGCCCGCATGCGCTGCACACACACGGCTCCCAGCGGCGGGGCTGTCCAGAGCTGCCTGTCCACACGTCCTCAATCCTGGGCTCAGGCTGTGGCACGCGGGCTGGGTGGGCAGGCACAGGCTTCACAGGGAGGCCCAGCAGCGAGGACGAGTTTCCAGAGCTTTGCCAGATGCAAAAGGACAAGGCGATAAGAAAAGAAAACTTTATTTCCTGCCTAAGAATGTGTTACACAAGGTCAGGTTTTAGAAGGTGAAGGACAACGACATCAGCCAACAATGCCAGTTCAGCGCGGTCTCTGCAGGCGAGCTGGCCGCGGGGCAGGGCACTGCACAGGTGACCAGAGGAGCCCCCTGGGGAGCTCAGTCGGAGTGGGCACAGCCACGCCTCAGGGACCAGGAAGGACTGAGCTGGAGTGACCTAGGATCAGGGCTTGGGGACCCCCAGTCCTCCAGCTGGCCCCAGCAGAACGCAGGAGGCTGTGTCAGGAGCTTTGGTGTGGACACTTCCAGGAGGCTGGCCTGACCAGCCTGGACCCCTGCCCAGCCCACAGGACCCAGGGAAAAGCTGATGTGCAGACACAGGGGGTCAGAGTCTCGAGACACAGACCCTGCAAGTCATGGAACCTCCTGAGCGCCAGTGTCTCCCGCGGGACAGGACGCGTGCCCACCTGAGTGCCGTGGGAGCAAATGCGCGAGGTTGGGCGACACACGTCTGCGGGCCAGGGTGGGCGGACGGAGGTGGCCTCGGGGGCTGTGGGCTGGGGCAAGGGGAAGCGGGGAGAGGGGGAGCTGGGCTTGGGGTTTTCGTGGGAAGTGTGTGTGCACTCAGAGGTGACCAGGAATGGCAGGGGGAATGGGTCATTCAGGAAGTGGGCAGTGGACCTCAACCCAGCCCCCCAGGGGCCTCCAGGCCTTAGCATGAACTGACAGCCACGGCCTACACCTGCGCCCCCTGCACCCCATCCTCAGGGCAAGGAAAAGCCCAGGGGAGCTGAGCCTGGGGGCTCTGGCCCCTGCCCATAAACTCCCAGGGGACAGCTAGGGGTTGTTACTGCCCCAGGCCTTCTCCACAGGTCCAGCGGCTTCCAGAAACAGCATGGCACACCCCTCTGAGAGGCCAGCACCCCGCCTTTCCCATGTGGAAGGCAGGCCCAGGCTCCTCTCAGCGCGGGGCCCATGTGCGGGCTCAGGGAGGGGGCTTTACCTGGAGTCCTCCACAGACTGGACACGCCGCAAAGAAAGCTGTTGGTGGCCGGGCGTGGGGGCCGCCCGCTTCCCAGGGCTCTCCGGGGGCTGGGCTGGGCTGCGAGGCCTCGCCTCCCGGGGTCTCTGTCGTCTGTCCCTGCTGCCTCGCTCCCGGCCAGCCTGAGGGACACACGGTGGGGTCCGCGCCGCGGTCAGGGGCGTCCTGGAAGGCCGGGCTGGCGTCCCACGGGGCCTGGCGCAGGCTGCGGGGTGTGTCGTAGTGATGGCGCAGCGAGCTGGGCACTTGGTACCCGGCCGCACCCGGCGGGCAGGCACACAGCGTGTGCTCCGGGGCCCCAGCCGCCTGTGGCAGGCTGAGCAGTGAGCCGAACTCCTCCGCGGCCCGCCACACATCCAGGCTGCTGCCTGCGTAGGAGGAGAAGCTGCCGGAGTAGGAGGAGTGGCTGCCCGTGGCGATGCCGCTGTCCGAGGAGCTCTGGCGGCCGACCTCCTGCAGCTGCCGTGGCCGGAGCGGCTTGGGGGGCGGCCTGGAGGTGCCCGGCGTGGCCTCCCCCGGGCCCTGGGCGGCTGTCAGCCCCGGCCCCTCCCGCGATGCGCTGGCTGAGAGTGAGGACTGCTCTGGCCACGCGGTGAGCCTGCTGCTGGCGCTGATGTCTGAGTGGCTGGCCTCGGAGGAGGAGCTGGACAGGCTGCGGTCCTCCCCTGAGACAAGAGCAAGGCGCTGGGGCCAAGACGGCATCCCCCCCCTCCCGGGCCCCTGTACTTGGAGCTTGGACAGTAAATGCAGTACCCCCATCCCCACCCGCTCAGGACAGTGCCCCGGGCAAGCTCTGGCCTGGGCCTGGGCCTCCGGCGTCTCCCTCCCCCTTGGCCACTGTCCTGGTCCCGGCTCTGGCCTCTCCGTGGACCTTGCACCCCCCCACCTCTGCCCTTGAGTCCATCCCACAGCAGCGACCTGGCCTTTCTCCCTGTGCAGCCCCTCTACCCAGGACCTGAGGCCTGGCTCAGTGTTCACACCCTCTGCCTTCAGCCCAGGTCCCTGCCTCCCCCTGCCAGTGCCTGAGCCAGCCCAGCCCCCTCCCAGCCCCAGGGCATCGGCCAGCACATCCATGCATGGACACCCCTTCCCTCGCCACTCCTCGGACAGGAACACAGCTAGCTAGGGGTCCAGGTCCACCCACCCCACCTCTCAGCTCCCCACGTGCCTGTGAGGACTCCCAAATGGAAACCAGATGTGAGATCCCCAAGAGGAAACTCATTGCTGGCTTGAGCCTCTGTGTGTCTACCACCAGGACCAGGATGCTAGGAGGGGGGGCCATGTCCTCCCGGGACAGGGCCCCAGGGGACAGGCCCAGGGCACAGGCACTCGGGACAGGCCCCCAGGGGACAGGCCCAGGGCACAGGCACTCGGGGTCAGGCACTCGGGGTCAGGCACTCGGGGTCAGGCACCCAGGGGACAGACCCAGGGCACAGGCACTCGGGGTCAGGCACCCAGGGGACAGGCCCAGGGCACAGGCACTCGGGGTCAGGCCCCCAGGGGACAGACCCAGGGCACAGGCACTCAGGGTCAGGCACCCAGGGGACAGAGCTTCCAGCCTGCATTCAACAAAGGTTTGTAGGGAATGGAGTGCATGAATGAGTGAGCAGGAGGGAGGATGAAGGAATGAGTGGATGTAGAGGGAGGAAGGAAGGAAAAACAAGGGAAGAAAGAACAGGTGGGAGGAAAAAGGAAGGGAAAAGGAGGAGGGAGGGGAGGGAGGCGCTAACAGTATGGGAGAAGACTTGGTCTCGGACACAGACAGGTCCCTGCCTAAGCCCCGGCTGCGCTGCGAGGAGGGCTGTGGCTGGGCTGGGCCTGGGCTGGGCCCGCTGCCCTACCTCCGCCGCCCGGCCGGCCCGCGTAGGAAAGGAGGCTGAGCCGCTTCTCCAGCTCCAGAGCTTCCAGGGCCTCCTGGGCCTCCTGGGCCCCGCGCTCCTCCAACGCCGAGGGCCCCCCAGGGCCGGGGTCTGCGCAGAGACAAGGGTCAGGGAGGGGGCCCGGACAGCCCGGGCAGCGTGCACCCCAGTTTCAGCCATGGGTTCCAGAAAGGAAGGGCCAAGAAATGCTGAGGCTGCCTCAGGACCTTACCCCGGTGACATGAAGGAAGAAGAGAGGGGCTCTCTCCCTGGGAACCTGCCCCTGCCCGTGCCGTGCCATGCCCCCACGGGTCTCCGAGTCCTTCATACTGGGACTGGAGGCACGGCACAGTGGGCAGAGCACACACGGGTCAGAATTTGAGTTCCCATCTCAGAAAATAAAACACAATCCTCCAGCCGGTCACAAGCACGTTAGCAGCCACGGCAGGGACGCTGCTGGGTCGCCAGCAGAGGGCGAGCTGACTGGGCCAGCACAGTGGCTTTGTCCTCCCTCGCAATGGACACACCGGCCATGGTCCCACCACAGGACCGGCCCCACACTCTGTCCTCCAGACCCCCGAGGCATGGGAGGAGACAAAGGCCCTCAGGCGCTACGGCCACTCCTGTGGGGCTGCCCCTGGATCACAGGATGAACATTGTCCCCACCCCCTGGGGACCCTCCACACCAGCCCTGGCCCAGTCCTGCTTCGTGCCCCCCAGTGCCTCTGGGCCTGTGCACTCGTTAGGTCCTACTGCGTACCCACCAGGAGTTCGTGAAGCAGGGTGCCCTGACCACATGGGGAGGACAGGCAGGAGGCTCAGAGGGGTCCGGGGGACCCCCCCCAGTGATCCTGAGACCTTACACACCTACACAAAGCAGCTGCATGCCCAGACCCCTGGCCACAAGCAAGCCTGCTGTCCACACCCGGGTGAGCTCGGGGAGGCGCCGGCCTGCCTCAGGGATCAGGGTCGGGGGTCTTACCACCCAGCCGCGGCAGCCGTGGCGTCACCCCCCCCCCAAGAGCAGACCCCATGGGGGAGATGCTGGGTCTGACATCCCTGACGGTCCCTCGGGGAGCCCAGCTACCCAGCGGCATGCTGCCCCAGACTTTGCCCAAGGCTGTACGCAAAAGCGGGCAGCCGCCTCAGCAGCCAGGCAGCTGGTACCTGGGAGCACCGGCCGCAGCCCGAAGGGGCCCTTGGTCGGGGAGATGCCTCGCACGATGCAGTCAAACAGGAAGCTGATCTGCTCCCCCTCGGCGGAGCACAGGAAGAAAACGCCAGCCCCTGCGGGGAGAGCACAGCCAGGGCATCAGAGCCTAGTCCCACCCAGGGGAAGGGGGGTCCGTGGGCCCCAGCGTGAGAACGGGGGTCTGGCGGGGGGTCCGTGGGCCCCAGCGTGAGAACGGGGGTCTGGCAGGGGGTCAGTGGGTCCCAGCGTGAGAACGGGGGTCTGGCGGGGGGGTCAGTGGGTCCCAGCGTGAGAACGGGGGTCTGGCGGGGGGGTCAGTGGGCGTGAGAACGGGGGTCTGGCGGGGGGGTCAGTGGGTCCCAGCGTGAGAACGGGGGTCTGGCGGGGGGGTCAGTGGGTCCCAGCGTGAGAACGGGGGTCTGGCGGGGGGTCAGTGGGTCCCAGTGTGGGAACGGGGGTCTGGCGGGGGGTCAGTGGGTCCCAGTGTGGGAACGGGGGTTCTGGTAAGGTGGGGGCAGCCTCGGGGAGCGCGGCTGCCGGGAGTGGCAAACCCCGGCCCCGGTCCCATTAGGTGACCTCTGGCCACCGGGAAAGTAATCTAGGGGCGTTTGTCCAATACGTGGCCGGGGTGGCACGGACGTGCAGCCACCCGGAGCCCACCGTCCTCCCCACGGTAACCGCGCTCTCCTCCTGGAGCCCCGAGAGCGGTGCATCCTGACACCAGCTCCACCCTGCCACCACTCAGCCAGGCAAGGACCTGCTCGCCACCAGCCGCAGCCACGCGGGCAGAGGGCGCGGCGGGCGCTCGCTGCCACAGGAGAAGCCCAGGGCCGTGAGTCAGCACGGAAGGCACCCAGCCACGTGCCGCCAGGCGCCCGCGGGCCTCCCGCTGGGCCCGAGCCCCAGCCAAGGGTGAATGAAATCCCTCGCTGGCCGAGTGAATGGAGAGGCCAGGCGGGCAGAGCCTCTGGGGACAGCCGCTGGGCACAGTGTCCCCACGCAGGAATCCTGCCCGCCTCCCAGCTTCTGCCCGTTGCCCAAAGAAAGGCACACAGGGGCTGTGCGGGTAACTCCTGGAGACAGCAGGGCTCAAGACTCTGCCTTCCAGTCACCTCTGCCTCCCTGGACGTGGGCTGGGCCTGGACAGGGCCTCAGCCATCCCCGACACAGCAATGCTGTCTGAGCGGCCACCCCAGCCCGACGGCAGGGGTGGAGGCCCCCGAGCGGCTGCTCCAGGGCCCTCAGGGGAGGACCGAGCCCTGGGGCTGCTGCAGCTTCATTCATGGAGTGCCCCCACGCAGGGTGACCCAACAGTGTCACTCCAGCCTCAGAGAGGAGTACACTGAGGCCCAGACAGGGCAAGCTGCAGTCTGCAGTTGCAGAGTCCATCAGTAGACCCACGCCCAGTCCCCTGAGCCCATGTGGTCCTGCCTGGCATCACACAGCTGCTGGTTCACTCGGGGCAGGGGGCTGCTACGGACCAGAAGCGAGCTGGATGCTCAGGGGGCTCCCTGGCTCTGAAAGGCCCGCAGGGGTGGGCACAGCAGGCGGGGTGGGCGCAGCAGGACGGGTGAGCGGACAAGGACAGCGTCCAGGACCTGAGGCAGAGGGCCTGTGAGCATCATCTGCTGGCCAGCTCATTGCTGCGTCTCTGCTCCGTGCCACTTGGTGAAGGCGCAGCCAGTCTGGCCCCAGCCCTCACGAAAGGCCAGGCTTCTAATCCCGAGCTTACAGACAGCTGGCAGAGGCCAGGGGACAACCAGTCCCCCGACTATAAAAAACCACATTACCGAAGGGAGTGGAGCCGGCTCCGCATTCCACCGGGGTGTCTGCGGAGTGTCACGCTCCCCAAAAGATGCGCTCGCCTGGGCCTGGCCTGGAGGGCCCGGCCCTCCCCCCGCATGCCCCTTGGCCTGTAGATGTCCACCAGCCTTTCAAGACCCAGACTTTTATGACGTCCTCCCTGGCCACCAGCCCGGGGTGGCTGTGCTTCCCCTGCTCCCCATCCAGAGGCTGGGTCCTCCTCTTCCCGGGTCAGCCTATGGCTTTCCCTGAACCTCTTCCAGGTCAAGGCTGACCTCTTCCAGGTCAGCTACCATGCAAAAAAAAAAAAAAGTCCACCAGGCCACTCTACTGGACAAGAAAGCCCCTAATGGAAGTCCATGGGCGTCCCACCAGCAGCCTTGATGCCCTGGCCTCTGCTCCCACCCACCCCAAGTGCCACTGCCCAGTGGCTGGCCACCCCCTGGAGGGTAGAGATGGGTTGTTCCTGGTCCCCAGGGCTGCAAACAGCAGAGCTGAGTTTGGGGGTGTTAGTTAGGCAGCCACTGAGAACATGGAGAAAGGAGGACAGGAGCAAGAAAGGCTGTGAGGATGCGGAGCGGAGCGTCAGCTGCCTCCTCAGCTGGTGGCCAGAAGCTGTCCTGTCCATCACGGTGACAATACGCCCTTCACACGTGCACATGCCACACAGCTTTCCAAAGGCCCCGCAGGCCCCGGCCCCTTCCCGAGCACAGTCAGATGGTCCCTACTGGTTCCAGCAAGGGTCAGGGAGAGCCCCACGGTCACCCTGGCCCACGCCCACCGTGCGCAGGGCCACCACGGCTGTCCTGGGGGCCTGGCCCTCTGGCCCGGAGACCAGTAGGCGGGGGCACTTCTGACACACAGGAAATTGCTAAACTGGCAATAGGAGCAGCCTGAGGGTCTGGGGTGTTACAGGGTTGGGACAGGACTTCTAAGCCAGGCCAGGGAAGCAGGGCTGAGGCCTTTGCCCCCCCTGTGCTAGGCCAGGACCCAGCCCAGGGCTTCATTCGCAGACGATTCCTCCCCGCATCCCATAATGGGGACACACAGGAGGAAGGCAGAGCAAGACGCTGACCAGAGCCTGCAGACAGGTTGCCCAGCGTCACCTGGGGGACAAGGCCCGTCCCTGGCCACTCTTCTGCCCACAGCAAGCAGCTTGCCGCCAGCCAGCCCCCACGGAAGCGCAATGGTGGCCGCTGACAGCTGGCGGTGTCTGCGTCACCAGGCAGCTGGTCCTGTGCCACGGACCCGGCTTGCTGCCCACTTTGCCCGAGAAAGCCTTCTGTTCCTCGAGAAGAGACAGGAGGCTGGCCTCCAGTGCCCGTGTGGGTGGGTTCAGGGCAGAAGCCACAGAGCAGCGGACACGGACCGCTCGATGGCCGGGGGAGAGCCCTGTCAGCAGCCGTGTAGACGAGGTGTGGACGCTGAGCTCACCCAGCACCATCTGCAACAGAGGCATGGAGAGGCCTGTGGACAGGCCTGCTGTGCGGCCTGGGCTGCCCTGCCCTGGGCGATAGCCAGCCCAGGCCTCCCGGCCGGTGATGGCCTCAGACTCGCCTGGCAGCCAGGCACCGCTGGGTGGTACAGAGGGAGGCAGCGCCACCCAGACCCCAGCAGCAAGGGCTCCGGGAGGTGGACGGATGGCCCAGCCCAGAGGGTCGTGTACAGACAGCTGAACCCATTCCCGGCTTGAGAAGCCTCCAGGCCTGGGCGAGCAGTCGTTCACAAATGTCATGCCTCTGTGGCCCAGTGTCGGGGGACGGGGGACAGGAGAATCTGTGGCTAGGCCCCGGCGTGCAAGGGACCCCTTTCAGGAGCGGGGCAGAGGCGAGAAACAAGAGGTGAGGACTCAGTAAATCAGCCCAGGACTTTCTGTCCATCCTTAACGCTCAGCTTCCTCTGCATCCCGAGCTGCACCGCGCTCCGGCCCCGGCCACCTGTGCCCGACCTTGAGAAACGCCCCTCCCCACCACACGGGGCCCCTGATGCCAAGCGTGTTCAGACGGGCTTTCCGAAACGCAGTCTCTGCCTTCCCGCGGGGTCACAGCGATGGCAAGTACCCAGATCCTCGGGGCTCCCTGTGACACCACGGCTCTGTCTTCCTGACTACAGGTGGCCAGCACACAGACTTGGCCCCAAATTCTAGAACAGTCACAGCTGAATGGTGGCCTTTTAAAAGATATGTGCACAGGGGCTGGGAAGGTGGCTCCATGGTAGAGTGTTTGCCTCACATGCAGGAGGCACGAGGCCCTGGGTTCGATTCCTCAGCACCCCATAAGCAGAAAAAGCTGGAAATCTGTTTGCTCAATACCTTCACAGGTCTCCGGCCGGCGTGACTGTGTGTGTGTGACACACGGGCCCCAGAACCCAGTGCAGGCAGCGGGGCAGGAAGCCCCACCCTCGGCCCTTTCTGGATGTGGTCCTAAGTGGCCAGTGGGCAGCACGGCCCGTTCCTGCATGCACCAGGCGAGGCCCGAGCCTCCACTCACTCCCACACCGACAGGCGGGGTCCTAGCCTCCCCCTGCCCCCGAGACTGCCAGTCACACCTCCACCCAAGGTCAGGTGACAACCCGAAGCCAGCCCAGGAGCCAAGTGTGTGCTAGTGTGCACAGGTGTACGCTCCAGGCCCTGACCCCTGGCCCTGCTCTCTGAACAAGATAGCATGGAGACCACCTGCAGAAGCACAGTCCACGCCCGTGTCCACAGCCATGCAGAGAGCAGCTCGTGGGGCCGGGACACGCAGGCTCCACACAAAGGGTCTCGAGGTCCTCCCCACACGGCCACCGCTCCTCTCCCAGCCGTCAACTGGCCCTGCTTGCTCATCGCCTGCTGCGGTCCTGCCCTAACCCCCCGCCGTAGGGCTCGGGTGGCCCAGCCCTCTGCCCTGCACCTGCTCCACCCCGCACCTGCTCCGCCTGCACCTTGGCCCGAGAGGTCTCTGGCGGAGCCCCATCCGTGAACGCGTTGCTCTCCACATGGTACCCCGGCAGGGCCCCCTGGGCTTGCGTAACTCTTCCAGGGACCCCAGGCCCATGGCTCGTATGGAGGCCCTGTTCCCGAGGCTGCAGGCACCCCCACCAGACACCAAGGAAGAGCAGGGTGCTGGGCCCAGGCTGCACCCCGAACGACACGGCCGCCCAAGGGTCCCGAGGTCCGAGGAGCCGGCCCGCGCGGGGCGTGCTCGCTCGGGTGCACACAGGTCAGGGCCCGGCCCCGTGTACTTACAGTACCCACATCTGGTCCCGCCTTCAAAGATGAACCCATGTGGCACGGCCCCGTAGCGCCGGAGGTCAGGTAGCTTCCAGTGCCCCGAGACGGCCGGGGGGACGGCCCTGGCCAGCACCAGCGTGTCGTTGCACAGGTGCAGGGTGGCCGGCCCGCTCTCCAGCTTCGTGCCGGGGGCCACCGTCACGCGGAACCTGTGCACTGAGGGCGGACAGGACGGGGTGTCACCGGGCAGGGGCAGCGCCAGGGCGGCCACACACAGCCGCCCGCCTCCACGGCGAGCACCACAGCAACACAGCGGGCATCACCGTCACAAGGCGGGGCTGCCCCCGGGCCCCTCCTCAACACCTGCGTCCAGGAACTGCTTTAGGAATAGGCAAAGGGACCCGGATGACAACGGCTGGACACCCTCACACACACACACACACTGCTGGACACCACACACACACACACACACTGCTGGACACCACACACACACCCACTGCTGGACACCACACACACACACACACTGCTGGACACCACACACACACACACACACACTGTTGGACACCACACACATACACCCACTGCTGGACACCACACACACACCCATTGCTGGACACCACACACACAGACACACACTGCTGGACACCACACACACACACACAGACACACACTGCTGGACACCACACACACACACACA